AATAAAGAAGAGTCGTTCCTATTAAAAATTAAAGAAATTTATACGTGATAATATTTTTTTTATTTCTGAACCTTGTATTTGTGCACACAATAATGTACACTTAATTTTTAATCGATATACATATAGTTATTATATTTTTCAGTGAATATTGTTGTAACTATCATATACCAAAACTGACGAAATCTAAACTCCGCGGTATAATGTTATAAGTATGAGATACAACAACTGATGCAGCCTGTACTCCCCAGTAAAAAGTTGTATTTTTTTATAGGATAGGGTGACAAACGAGCGCACAGTCCACCTGATGGTAAGTGGCTGCTGTGCTGTGCCCATAGACATCTACATCTATCCTCGCTTGCGAATCAAAATGCAGATGCGTTGTTACCCGTGAGGACTAAGATGGAATGCCTCTTTTCCAGTAAAAAGGGTCTCCGGTTCTCTACACTCACCATACGAAACACAGCAGCGTTAAGCTGCTATTTTACGCTGTTATTCTGTGAGAGCGTGGTCCTTCCCCGGTCGAGCCGACCCATTCGTGCTACAACTATACTACAAATATAGCTGCAGCATGGCTCTACCACGTGTGACGTATGGACGATATCTCAGAAAATATACATATTTTTTTTAAATTATCTTTCAGTATAGTCAAAAATACTAAAAATTACATACACATACTAAATTTCACAAAGATAAAATAATAAATGCAGTTTTTAGTCCAATTTGAATCTTTAAAATGCTCTACTGTAAAATTGCAGTTTTGGGGATACAACAACTTACGTGGGAGGTATCGATATAGTAATTTGACTATTTAAAGTTACTTTTACAAGAGCATATAATGGGATAACCCGCTGTTAAGAGTACATGATTAATAATAACATGTTTGTAAATATTTTTATAATAATTGTATACAATATTATATTGTATGGGGATGCGCCTGTAAAACACACTTCATATATTTTGAAAGAGCTCAACGTTCCTTGCTCAAAACAAATGACATTTAAGCTTTATAGATTCCAAACCAATGCCCTTTATGAGATGTGTCAAGTTCTCGCAGTAAAGCAGTTATTTATTTAACACATCAACAGCACGTTTTTAACCCTTATGACCCAAATAAATTACGTAACAAGCGTATTACCAATGTTATTGATCCCCTAAGATGCCGTACTACTTTGAGGGCGACAAAGAAGTTTTCTTTCTGGATATCTATATAATAAAGTAAAAAAAATTCTAAATATTTATCCACTATCACTTCACGAATGTCAAATTAAAATAAAGAACTGGCCAGTTACATTAAACTATGAGGATACTGAAAAAATACTAAAATAGGTTAAGCATATATTATGTAATACACATATTCAACTTAACACAACACACGCACGCACGGCCGCACGTACGCCCGCACGCAACGCAAGCAGGGACGCACAAAATTCTTGATTGTTTCTTCTGCATGCCCCCAAAAATTATCAAATAATATTCTTTGAGAATAACTGTTAATAGTTAAATCTGTAATCACACTATGAAATTGTCTTGACATACATTAATTAGGCTAAGAAACATGAGAGAAGGTGCTGAAGCCTGACATACAGATTCTTGCATAGTTTAGGATTCAGAGGCTACAAAGGCATCATTGTATTATGTCAATAACGATTATTATTATTATTGTGGGGTATCTCTACATAGTTTTCTCATCTGATTGGGCTGTATAACTATATAAATGTAAGTGAAAATGATTATTGAAATATTATTATTATTATTAATATCAATAAAACACAGTATATTATGTAACACACATTTTTAATATCTGTCCAATCTGTCAAAACGTAAATTTAAAATCTGTTGACAAATAAAATGTATACAGTAAGACAGAAATGTCTTTTGTGTTATTATGATATGTATGTAGCTATTTTGAATATGTTCAGATGTGTTTTCTTTCCTTTCAATATTTCAAAAGAAAGAACGGGTATTCGACAATTCTATAAAATAAACATATAAACATTAACAACATTCTAAAATGTAGTAAAGATTACAATTCGAGAAATACACTGACTTATTACCATTTGTTGGGAAAAAAATTAAGTGTAATAGGTATATGAAACAGAAGCCCATGGTATATAGATATTGCCTAAGGGTGTTACGACACAAAGCGAGCGATCGATTGGAGGAATGGATCAGTCGAAGCGAGTTCCTTGATTATTCGAATATATTTTGAAAGATACTGATGATGAGCTTACAACCACATCGATTAATTGTCGATTGATGATAGAACGTTTTATACACCAGTATCCGTCAATTAGCTAAAGCTACCACACCAATCGATCGACGTGACCCTAATGACACTCTAATAAAACGGATAATAACGTCGAAATTTCATACGTACCCTAACTTCGCGTTTTGACCTTGAAGACTAAATAATGATTTCATACTTTATCATTAAAATAATTATAACTTTTAACAAAACGTAAAAACCGCCTTCGAATTGCTAAAAAAGTAGTTATTTATTTACTGCCCTTAGGGGTGGAATTATTTCTCCAAATTTATATAAGACCAACCATGAAGTAACCTATTTAATAAAAAAATTATCATTAAATCGGTTCACAATCTGCGAAGATATCATATGAAATCCATTAAACTATAGTCCAATATGAAACTTTTTCCTCTATTCTCCACCCTTGGGGGCTGAATTTTTTTCTTAAAAATTTATTTGAACCACCCTAGAGGTAAAGCCTATTTATTAAAAAAAGAATCGTTAAAATCGGTTCACAATCTGCGAAGATATCGGGTAACATACATACAAAAAAAAAACAACCGAATTGGGAACCAACTTCTTTTTTATAGTCGATTAAAAAATTAATCATATGTACACTATAGGCTTCTATTTCGTTCAACTATTACATGCAATTTTTCCAGACGGCAAAAAATAAGCCGGTATCGATATTAAACACTATAACAATGATACATCTTGATATATTTCAACATTTATATAGACATATAAAATCTACTCATAAAATATCATATGGGGCACGATCACACTTCACGTATTAGGACAGCTCTATACAAATCTCAGTCATAAACACACCCACAATAACGTGATAAAACAAATCTAAGTCCGATACACTTAATAGCGATTATCGCTTGTACACGACAATAAAATTACATCAATAGTAAGCAAACACTTAAGTTAACAACATACATTAAACATAGATTAATATAAAGGTTCGTGTGCACAAATACAGCGAATGATAAAAAAGAGTCGCGAGATAGTACACTTTATTTTTTATTGCGAATATAATAAATAAATATGTTAAAATGAATTAGCCAAGATTCGCGCAAACATTGGGTGAAATAAGTGGAATTGGGATGTTTTACGTAAAATTTTAGCGATAATAAGTCGAAAAGTAACGCCTGATTTTATTATTAATCCACAAATATGACAAAAAAGTAATACAAAAAAGGATATAACCGGAATTTTATTTTTCACCGATTCTTCTCGGTTAAGCTTATTTTTTAACAGACACACACACAACTATAAGTCACCCACACAACTATAACAGAGACACACACACACAACTATAAGTTTGACCGCTATTTGTGTGTGTGTGTGTGTGTGTGTGTGTGTGTGTGTGTGTGTGTGTGTGTGTGTGTGTGTGTGTGTGTGCGTGCGTGTGTGTGTGCGTGTGTGTGTGTGTGTTTGTGTGTGTGTTATAATTTGACTGCTATGGACCCTAGCTCTTAAAAGGGTGAACCGATTTGGGTGCGGTTTTCTTTTTATTTAAAATCAGGTGTTCTAGCGGTGGTTCTTAGAACATGTTTTATCAAAATCGGTTTGACTGTTTCAAGGTCATCAGTTGTTTTGTTAGGTGCGGTAGGTTTCTTTTCGGAGGTTTCTAAAATTTTCAATTTAAGTTATTAACGGAAGTAGATTAAAAAAAATGACAAATAAATTATAATTTCTTGCTTCGAAATCATACACATATCGTTTCAAATGTATCTGCTTTAAGTAACCGTTTTTGTTATGACAGAGAAATAGTCCGTCTCAATGTCTGAAATTGCACTGTGCACACGCGCCTTTAGTTTTTAAGTCTAGAAAATTTTAAATAATAAATAAAAATTACAATTTTTATAGCTCATAATACCCTTCCATATATATAACTCTTCCATGATGATATACTATTTACTCTTAAGCTCATTGACTATATTCTGAAATGCCAAAATAGTACAAAACTTGAAAATCCAAACACCAAAGTTTAATAAGAACCAATAAACCATAGAGTAAAAATCAAATACCATTAAATAGGAAATTCATTAAAATAACTATACCTAACTAAAACTCCATACTATGAACGTACTATTTCGTTTATATCTATATTTGCAAGATAATTGCATCACTGATTCATTCATTCGTATAGTAATTATTTCGTTATCCTTTCTCTCAAAAACAATGTACAACTTTTGCACAGTTTTTTAAACATGTGCAAATGTGGAATGAGTCAAGTGGTAGTAATAACCCATACAGTGCAGTCTACGAGAAAAAAATCCAATCATATTACTATTGCATTAAGGTTGAAAATTACTGACGCGTCTTTCAAACATTGCAGAACATAATTATCGCTGATTGGTTCAAAGGAAAGAGCGGACATCGTGTTATTTAAATATATCATTAGATCACGTTGTAAATATTACAATAATGTACTATTCGAATTTCGAAAATTAAAAATTCGAATTTTAAAACATCATCATCTAAAAATTTTAAAAACTTTTCACACCACCAACAGACACCAAGAGACTCACTGAGAGTACAATTAACTATAAACTATATTTCAAATGACATCAGGTTGAAAATCAGTCGCAGTTTCGCGAACAATCAATCCAGTGGATAACGACGTAACCACCAATCAGAGCAAGCGAAGTTCAACCGTAGGCCATTAGAAATAGGGTTGGTTTTCGCGGCCGCCAGCCTAGTCCGCAGTAAGGTAGAGGCGGTGGAGGCGGCCGCGCGATACTCAGCGGACGCTGGGGCCGCCGAGGTGTTCCGTGTGGAGACGGACTATCTCGCCCACAATGGTCGCCTCTATATCCACGCCTGTATTTATAATTTTAATACCAACATTAATTCAAATACATAAAAAAATGTATTTTTTTTCATTTTATTTTATAGAAAAAGGGTAACGAACGAGCACACAGTCAACCTGATGATAAGTAGATGCTGTGGCCCATTGATATTTATCCTTAATTAAGAACCAAAATGCAGATGCGTTGTCACCCCTGAGGACTAAGATGGAATGCTTCGTTTCCAATGAAAAGGGTCTCCGGTTTACTGCAATGTATTTGAGATCCTCGATTTTTAGTTTAAAACTAATAGCGTGGCTCTGGGTACTTTATTTAAATCACCTAAAGTTTTCAGGTCATATCATTTCAGGTCGTTCCGAGATCTAGTGATAAAGTACATCATCATCATCATCACTACAGTCCATTAGGAGTCCACAGCTGAACATAGCATAAGAAATCTGATCAGTAGGAGGTTACCACTCGAGAGTTTTTCTTGATGACCGTCCCAATGCCACTTCAGCCTACTAATACGTTGGGCTATGTCGGTTACTCTGGTTCTACTGTGGATAATCTCATTTCGAAGTTAAGAGCTTCCGCCGGAATTATATAGAAATTATGTTAAATTATATATTTTGTCGTGAAATGGCGGCAGTAAAAGTATCAACTGCCCCATTTTTCATCCCGTAGGTGCGTAAGAGGTGACGAGGAAAACCTGAAACAGGAGATGGGCAGGAGAATCTTCCTGTACAACTCAATTGCTTTAAAAAAAACTGCAGTTGCCAACCTACCTGCAAAACGTGGCAACTGTATCAAATATCCCACCATTGAGGCAATCTATGAGACCTATGTTCAACTGTGGGCTTTTGATAAGCATTGTAATGAATAATGATATGATAATTTTGCATGTGGTAGAGCCATGCTGCAGCTATATTAGTAGTTTAGTTGTAGCACGAATGGGTCGGCTCGACCACGGAAGGACCACGCTCTCACAGAATACCAGCGTAAAATAGCAGCTTAACGCTGCTGTGTTTCGTATGGTGAGTGTAGAGAACCGGAGACACTTTTTACTGAAAAAGAGGCATTCCATCTTAGTCCTCACGGGTGACAACGCATCTGCATTTTGATTCTTTATTGAGGATAGATCTACATCTATCCTCAATAAAGAATCAAAATGCACCATAGATGTCTACACTCACCATACGAAAAACAGCAGTGTTAAGCTGCTATTTTACGCTGGCATTCTGTGAGAGCGCAGTCCTTCTCCGGTCGAGCCGACCCATTGGTGCTACAACTATACTACTAATATATGTAGCTGCAGCATGACTCTACCACGTAAAACTATACTACTAATAAAGCTGCAGCATGAGACTTCGTTGTGGGTGGTGGTAATAAAGATTACACTGTTGGACTTTTTGATTCTACATGTCTATGGGTCACAGCAACCACTTACCATCATATGGATTATGTGCTCGTTTGTCACACTATCCTATAAAAAAATGAATTTGTTTTAAGTCTAACCCCTTTTTACTAACGACAGTAAAACAGTTTACCTGCATGGACTTCTTCCCTAGTGAGTAGGACCTCTTGGCTAGCTTCGGGTGTGACCAGGATGACCCTGTGGTGGCGGGTTTGCAAAAGATTCGCCACCACCATCTGTGGAACAATGTGCGATTGATTACCGGCTGGAACACACGTTGGTATACCTTTTTACAAATGTTCGGATATAGGCGCAACGTTTTTATAAATCAAAAATTGTTCGTCTTTGCCTGACATGGCATAACCGCATAATTAATCCATTCTATTAGAGCGTATAAAAGTTCACTGCTGAACATAGGCCTCCCCCATAGATTGCCTCATAGAGGGCATTTTGCCATAGTTTCCACGTTTGGCAAGCGAGTTAGAAACCGCAGGTTTTTATTATCTTTAGTTGTTATTAGGAAGACGCCGCTGCCCATCAACTGGTTTTTTTCCCTCTGTCTCCTCCAACGACACCCACGGGACGATATGGGGTAGTGGATATTCTTAAACCGCCTCTGCACGGTGTTTATGCTTATAATATTATGCCATGTCAGCAAAAGATGAACACTTTTCAATTTTAAAAACGCGGTCACTAGTTATGTAACATGACAGTATGAAAACAACTCTTTAGCCGGTCCCCTGCAGTACGTGTATTCCATAGTTGGGATGATACGAATGCGCCCCGGTTTCGCACGGGTTATTTCTGGGTCTCGACAGCAGCGCCACCTACCGGGTTCAAATGTGAATCTAAACTATCTAGGGACCATTCAAACACACAAAATTTTTCATTAAAATCGATCGAGCCGTTTATGAGTTTTGGCGACACTAACGGACAGCAATTGATTTTTATAATATATAGAAAGATGGAAAAAGAATTAGGTATTATACTTAGGCTGTGTAGTGGCTGCGTAATTAATTCACTAGCCCATTTCATGTGTGTGTCGTAAAAGACGACGGAGGTAAACTGAAACAGGAGATGGGCAGCAGCATCTTTCCGATAACTTCTAATAATAATTAATAAACTGTTGTTGCCAGCCCGTCTGCCAAGTATGGCAGCGTTGGCAAGATTTTGATCTATGAGGCAATCTACGGGAGGCGTGTGTTCAGCGATGGACATTTGATAGGCTATAGTGAAGTGATATGGTATTTTTAATATTATTTTCGTGCATTGTAGCGAAAGTACCATACACGCACATTACTTTTACCACTCGCTGTTGCCGGCCCAATTGTTGAAATTTTTACCGCAAAAGGTTCTTCGTTGATTCACAATCATCGATCACTAATAAAATACTAGATACACAATTCCATGCAAAAGTTCACTAAAAACTGTCGCCAATTGTATTGACGCAATTCTAGTTGAAATAAATATACATTAATGTAAATTCAACCTTAAATGCATTGCCTAAAGTTGTATTCACAAAGCTACGTACAAATTAAAAGCGCACCGAAATGTTCGAGTGGGCGCTCATTCGGTGAGGACATTTTTTGTCAGTGATTGTGTATCCAGTTTTTTATTAATGATCGATGTTTACAATAACAGATGCGGAAGCGGATATCTAAATCAATGCAAAAGTACTGCCATTACGGATGATTACTCTCCATAGATCGCCTTATATGGGGATATTTGCCATAGTTGCTAAGCTTGGCAGGTAAATTTTTCAGGAAGACGCTGCTACCCACCTCTTGATCTAATATCCTCTGTCACCATTCGACACCTGACTGTACATCGACTTTTTTTTTATTATAGAATTAGGGTGACAAACGAGCACACAGTCCACCTGATGGTAAATGGTTGCTGTGGCCCATAGACATCTACATCTATCTTCGTTTGCGAATTGAAATGCAGATGCGCTGTCAGCCGTGAAGACTAATATAGAATGCTTCTTCTCCAGTAAAATAGGTCTCCGGTTCTCTACACTCACCATACGAAACAGCAGCATTAAGCTGCTATTTTACGCTGGTATTGTGTGAGAGCGTGGTCCTTCCCCGGTAGAGCCAACCCATTCGTGCTACAACTATACTATTAATATCAAATCAAATTATTTTTTTTTAATTTGAAGTTACAACATTTTTGTTAAATTTTTTTTTTTTATTTATTTATTTAAGGAGTAGGTATTACATAACACAATCTATGCTCTGTGAACCCTGTACTAGGTAAACCTGTCTTACAGGGTTCCAGACCTTCCATATTGTAATGGTAGTCATTGGTTAACCAAACTTAAGCATGAATAACTAACACAGTTAGAAAAAAATATAGCTGCAGCATGGCTCTACCACGTAAAAAAAACGTGGTAGAAATTTCTAGACGTTATGTAAGAAGGTCAAATGGCGGTGGAAAAATAAAAATAAAAACTTACCTTATGTTTATATTTGTCCAGCGCAGCTCTAGCCTTTGGTATAAGTAGGTTCTCGTCTGTCTCTAGTTTGAATGAGACCACGTAAGCGTTGGGCACCCACAAGCTGACGAGCGGCGCAAGCATCTTGGGGACCAGGTGAAGTTGTATGATGGGCGCTCCACTCGCAGACTGCATCTTATGGGTCGGCTGTAGAAATAGACTTGTTTATTGTGATAATTTGGATACATCCAAAGCAAAGTAGGTATATATGGATAGGTGGTGAGTATATATGATAGATATGTCGTTTGGAAGGTTGAGAGAGGAGCCAGTATCTTCGGGATCAGGTGAAGGTGCATGATGGGTGCGCCACTTGCCAGACTGCATCTTATGGGTTGGGTGGTGGAAATAAAATAAATGCCCCCTCTCCTATAAAAAAAAATAGCCATAGATCGGTAGAGACCTCCTGCCATTTTTGAGAGAGTGATGGTGCAAACTATCTGGGTTAGTGGTTTGGTTTAGTATCACCCTCTTGCCTAATTCCGCCGAACAACAGAGTATCCACTTATATGTTGCAGTTTGAAAGGTTTAAGTGCTGTTAAAGTAGCAGGCGCTAGGCCTTTAGTCCTCAAAGGTGATAATAGTATCAAAGAGTACGGCCTGGGTTCGTTTCGACTTTAAACGGACCCAGCTGTTCATTTTAACATATGTAAATCGCTTCAAACTTTAAAGCGATTTACATATTATGTAAAAATGTAAATAACACTGATTTTACTTGACCTTAAAGAAAATATCGGCCATGAAATAAATGTTCAGGTATGAGTATAATGGTTATCGTGGTTCACCTAAGTAACGCAAATTACTGGTAGAAATGGAAATGTAATAATATGGGTTTTGAAACAATTTAGAAATGTAGCCTTAAAATATACTAAACAGTGTATATTACAGTCAAAACCATTTTTGACTGCAAAAATCAAGCAAAAGTAATTTTAACTAAGAAAAGTAGGACACTACCACTTTTGGCTGATTTTTGCAGTCAAAAGTAGTTTCGACTAAGGACGTTGGTCAAAACCACTTTTAACTGCAAAAATATTGGGTAATAGAGATTTTGACCAAATTATAACAGTCATTTAACTGCAAAAATATTGGTTAAGAGATTTTGACCAAATTCTATCAGTCAAAAATGGTTTTGACAAAAAAAATGTTAGTCAACACTTCTTTTGACATATATACTTTTTGAATTTTTAAAATTTTAAGGTTCAATTCTTTTAATATTATAATTTATATCATTTTATACCTTAGGTGGACTACTCCATCACCACCTTAACTTACTGTCACTGATATTGCGAGTTATGACCGATAGTCTGAACTTTAAATCAGTCAAAACCGCTTTTAACTGAGGTTAGTCAAAACCACTTTTAACTGAAGACGTTAGTCAAAACCACTTTTGACTGCAAAATCAGTCAAAAATATCTTAGAGTAAGGGCATCGGTCAAACCATTTTTGCGCGGTTTTCGCAGTCAAAAGTGGTTTTGACTGTATCATATACATTACTGTTACAGCCTTTTTAAGTCCACTGCTGAACATAGGCCTTCCCCATTGATTGCAGCATAGGGGGAAGATTGGCCATAGTTGCCACACTTGGCGAGCGGGTTGGCAACCGCAGTTTCTTTATTTTTAGTCGTTATTAAGAAGACGCTGCTGCCCATCTCCTGATTAGTTTCCCTCTGTCAACTCTTACGACACGACGAGTCTGTAACGGTAACGGTCCTTGGTTGGAAGAGCGGTGTTAAATAACTTACCACCCTATCTTTAGGTATATAGAAGTCGGAGACTGCCGCGGCAAGGTATAGCAGAGCCCTGGGCCCCAGTCTCGCAAGGCACTCGCAAGCGGCCCGCAGCAGCCAGAAATACTCGGAGACCGTTGTGAAGGACACGTGGAGTAAGGCACCAGCGGAATGTGCGGCTTTGTACCTAGCCAGCACTGGGGCCAGAACGTCTACGCTGTCTGGCTTTACTGGACACGCAAAACATTTAATATACGATAATTTATTTTATTTATTAATCACTAGCCTAACTAATCACTAATCCGTCCCGATTTCGCACGCGTAATCTCTGGATCTCGTCAACAGTGTCACCTACCGGGTTGCTGCTGACAATTTCTTGACAGATAATCCAATAACTGATATTCGTCCGACCAAGTATTCGAACCCAGGCCTTCACGATCACAAGCCGCGCTTACGACCACTAGTCCAACGAGGCAGTCCATAGTCAATTGTAGAGAACTAGTAACCACCTACCAGGTCCAATCGTGAATCAAAGCCATTCAGATACCCATTCAAACACATACAAAAAATTTCATCAAAATCGGTCAAGCCGTTTTTCAGTTTTATCGAAACTCACGGACAGCAATTGAATTTTTATATAATATAGTGATTTATTTTCAGAATCAGGTGCTTGCTTTTTTTTCCTCTTTAATTCTTATTAAAAACGTTAGCCCCACACTAGGATTTTCTCCTGTGTCGTGGAGGCAGTTTACAAACATAAATTGCACAAGGACAAACATCCAGAGCCGGAACAATTATTTGTAGGTCATACAAATACTTGTTCCGTGCGGGATTCGAACCCGCGGCCCCCAGCGCAACAACTGATTGCTAAGTCACTGCGCCACGGAGCCGTCATTGCTTACATGCTATGTTAGTAAAAACTGACCAAAAAGTACCTATACAAAACTCTGTCAATACAGAGACAAAATTTCTGGCTTATAGGCTCATGGAACACATAAAACATTTAGATGAATGAACCTAGCAAGTAAATTAGAATGTGGATTCTGTTCCTAATCATCAGTAGGACTATATTCGGGCTCCCTCGCACGCGTCGTATAAGACTTTTTTCACATGATTGCGTAAAAAACGTCCGTTTTTGCATTAGCCAATGTACTTGATGCGCTACAATAACGATGGAGCCCCCAAAAAACTCTGAACACATTACTGTATTTTAATTTGACGGCTCCGTGGCGCAGTGGCTTAGCAATGACTTACAGCGCTAAGGGCCTCGGGTTCGAATCCTGCACGGAACAAGTATTTGTATGGCCTACAAAAAATTGTTCTGGGTCTGGCTGTTTTAATAACAAAAATTAAAAAAAAATGAATTCGCATACTAAACTTTAATAAAAATTAGCTTCAAAAACTAGTAGGAATTAAATTATTTCCATTCGAGGTTTCTCATGAGTTTACGTGAAGAGACAACTTTGGTTCCCTTTTTAAGCTATTGAGCGCAAGGAGGAGTATGTGAATGTGGATAATCTGTGAATTTCGTGCGATCTCGAATGTTCCATTTTCAATAGTATGTGGCACTCTACTCTACACACTATTGAAAATGGAAATTGTGTGTAGCGTGACAAACAGTGTATGCCAAGGCAAAATAGCGTTTATTTTATATTTTGTATATTGTATATATCTGTAAAGGAAATTAAAATTGCCTATATATGTCTCACTGCTGGGCACGATCCTCCTCTCATTTCTGAGAGGGTTTTAGGGCAAGGAAATGTCCACCGCTGCCCCAATGCGTGTCGGCGAACTTCACACGTCTTCGAAATAATTTTTTCACCGCCGAGCATGTGGATCAGCACTTAAAATTGCAATTAAGAATTTCATTGGTGCCGGCCGGCGGGGATCGAAACCGGGTTGCTCGTGTACTGTGAAATTTACAAGGAGCGCTCAGCCCTTGAGCTACCACGGCTCTAAGATATCTGCGTTTAATGTGCATGTGAAAGTGAAATACATCTTGCATAATATTGTTACGAGCTTTAATATTGTTATGAGCTTCTGCTACTCGATACTAGAGGGCGCTAGTGGTAACTAGTGTCGCCATGTACAATGTATTAATCGTGGCGCGCAACAATATACAAACCAAAAGTTTTATAAATTATGGTCGAGTTCACTAGGCAACCACTAGTTCTAGTTAAACCGCTGAGAAAAAAAGTCACTGGCAAGACCTCTACTGATGCCCGCGTCTTTTCTCTTCTTTTTTTTTAAATGTTACCCTTACACTAGTTACTTCTGTATCGTGGAAACAATTTACATGCATGCATTTCACAAGGACCAATATCCAGACCCAGAATAATTATTCGTAGGCCAAACAAATACTTGTTTCGTGCGCGATCCAAACCCACGGTCCTCAAAGCCGCGACTCAGTGCTAAGCCACGGCGTCACGGAGCCGTATACCAAGCCTTGCAGCGAAATTTTACGGGCTAATGGATAAGATGAGCACGATAGTAAAAGGTGATATTAATGTTGACGCTGACCGGTTATAGTGGTGTTTGGTCCCCGCTCGTCCAACTCTAGCATATCGAGTAGTTTCTGCCCGCTAAAGTGTCTCGTATAGGGCTCCAGCGACTTCTGACGGTGCATGAAGATGACCGCGTAGCCGTGCTCCAGGAAATATTCCGCGGAGGCCGAGCCCCGAGTCCCAGCGCTGAAGTTGTCCACGAACCGTACTGTGTTGTGCTCCAGCGGGACCGTTGTGCCGCCTGACTATTTAGAATTAAAAATTTCAAGTATTTAAGATATATTCAGTGATAATAGTAGATACTATAAATATATTTTTTTTTATAGAATAAGGGTGACAAACGAGGACACAGTCCGCTTGACGATAAGTGGACGCTGTGGCTCATAGACATATACATTTATCCTCAATTAAGAATCACAATGCAGATGCGCTGTCACCTCTAAGGACTAAGATGGAATGCCTCGTTTCCAGTAAAAAATGTCTCCAGTTCTCTACACTCAACATACGAAACACAGCAGCATAAAGTGCTATTTAACGCTGGTGTTCTATGAGAGTGTGGTTCTACCCCGGTCGAGCCGAAACATTCGTGCTACAACCATAGTAACTGCAGCGTTACTCTACCACGTCAAAAATATAAATAGATAAGTATAGAAGTAAAATATATAAAAAAAATTACGGGATATGGTTGACAGTCCACCTGATGGTGAGTGGATACTGCGGCCCATGGACATTTATATCTATCCTCGATTACGAATCAAAATGCAGATGCGTTGTCGTCCATGAGGACTAAGATGGAATGCCTCATTCCAGTAAAAAGGGCCTCAGGTTCTCTACACTCACCATACGAAACACAGCAGCGTTAAACTTATATTTTACGCTGGTATTCTGTGAGAGCGTGATCCTACCCCGGTCGAGCCGACCCATTCGTGCTACAACCATAATATAGCTGCAGCGTCACGTCCAAAAGTGTAAATAAATAAGTGAAAAAAAGCAGAGGCAGTCATAAGAAGACAGCTCAATTGCAATCAGCATTTCTCTTTTTCACCCTTTAAAAATGTATTCTTCTCTCACTCTTGAAATGGTAAATGAATCATTAATAGCCGAGGACGTGATACCATCATTGCGACCGTGGGAATGTTAAATTCTCAGTCCTCATGGGTGATAACGCATTTTAATTCTTAATTAACGATAAATGTAGATCTCTATGGGCCACAGTATCCAACAAACGAGCACACAGGTGGACTGTGTGATCGTTTGTCACCGTATTCTATAAAAAAAATCTTACAGAGATTTGTAATCGAAATCAACGTTTTAATTAGTATACTTACCGTAACCAGCGCGATTCTGTTGCCATATTTGTCGTGGCGTTCGCAGAATTCCTTGAGCAGCGATCGGTTGTCCTCGAAGTCTGTGGGTGGGAGGTGGACGGCGAAAAACTCCTCCCACGAGCCACTTGACATCTTCGTTCGCTCGTCGACTGGCAATGACAGATGAGCCGCTTATGACTGAAAGAAAGCGGTTCATCACTACCATCATCCTCTTTCTACCCTTATTCCTAGTTATTTGGGGTTACCATAGTGTCTTTCCTCTTCCGTTTTTCCTCTCACAGCCGTCATTTCCTCACTTACATTTTTTACGAATATCTTCTTGAACACAGTCCCATCCATCTTTTCTTAAGCTTCCTTTTTACATCCATCCACTTTCACTTACAGTAATAATTAGTTTTTTTTTTAATACTTACACCCACACTATGAAAATCTACAAACGCACAATGAAATTCTCCACTGTGCAAGCGTTTTACAAATATAAATTGCAAGTGAACAAACAAGAAACAAATATTTGTAGACCATAGCAATACTTCTTTCATGCGGAATTCGATGCTGCGTTTTGTAGAACCGCATCCAAACTACTAACCACTGCGTTACTTAGACGCCAGTTTTTATTAGTGTCGATTAAGACATTCTTAAAGATCGATAATACGTTACGTGTTTCGCCTCTACACGATACGGCCTTAAGTGAAATACATAGGCTGCACTAAAAGTAAGTAATACATATAAGACATTATATATATATATATATATATATATATATATATATATATATATATATATATATGTATATAACTAATTTAACCCTAAACTTATTTAGCGTTACAATAGCCTAGAATATACTACTAAATTTTCTTTACTAAACATCTATACAAATAAATAAAATTGAAGTGTCTGTTTGTAATGTCAAAATTATTTTTTTACTAAATTCATATGAAAGTAAATACGGTACTTATACATAGACTGCACTAAAAGTATCGGGAATGGAATATTTCCACTGTTCCTGTCATATTAAAATCTTTTCAATTGAAAACTCCTTGGTTTTAAAAATCGAATACCATTTATTTATTTAAAAAAGATTCGCGGTCTTGTCACAAGGTTTTGTCAAACTTGTTTAGTCGTTGAGAAAATGGAATTGACTCGAGAAAATTCAAGAGCGATGATTTATTATGACTTTCGAAGTGGTTTAACACAAAAACAGTGTGTTGACCGGATGATTTCTGCATTTGGTGATGAAGCCCCATCCAAAACCACAATTTATCGCTGGTTTGCTGAATTTCAACGTGGACGTGTCAAGCTCAGTGATGATCCCCGTCAAGGTCGTCCAAAAACTGCAGTCACCCAACAAAACATTGATGCTGTGCGTAAGCTGATTGAGGAAGATCGACATGTGACATACCGCAAAATTCAGGCAACTTTAGACTTTGGCATGAGTCAAATACAAATAATCTTGCATGAACAATTAGGTGTAAAAAAGTTGTTTTCCCGATGGATACCGCATTCGCTCTGTGAAGAGCAAAAAGCGGCTCGCGTTACTTGGTGCGTCAGAACTCTCGAAAGATTCCACGCAGGATCCTCAAATGCTGTATACAACATCGTATCATGTGACGAATTCTGGATATACGCGTACGAACCCGAAACAAAAAACCAGTAACGAGTTTGGGTGTTCGAAAATGAGTTAAAACCAACAAAAATTGTTCGTTCACGTAGTGTCGCAAAAAAAATGGTGGCCACGTTTGTCTCCAAAACCGGCCACGTTACGACTATTCCTCTTGAAGGACAAAGAACGGTTATTGCAAGGTATGCTAGCATATGTTTGCCACAGGTCGTTTCTGAACTTCGTAAAGAGAACTGCAACCGCCGCATCATCCTCCATCACGACAATGCGAGTTCTCACACCGCACACAGAACAAAAGAGTTTTTAGAGCAAGAAAACATAGAATTATTAGACCATCCGCCGTACAGCCCCGACCTAAGCCCTAATGATTTTTATACTTTCCCTACAATAAAAAATAAATTGCGTGGACAGAGATTATCATCACCTGAAGAAGCTTTGGACGCCTACAAAACGGCTATTTTGGAGACCCCAACTTCCGAATGGAATGGTTGCTTCAATGATTGGTTCCATCCTATGGAAAAATGTGTCAAATTTCGCGGAGAATACTTCGAAAAGCAATAAATACATTTTTAAATAGTAATGTTGTGTCACTTCCTTTATTCCCGAAATTTTCAGTGCCGCCCTCGTATAGACTGCGGTGGCTGACCGCTATTAGCACCTGTCGTATAATTGACGGTGGTGTGTCTTTCCTAGCATAGTGGTATTCGGAGAAGTGGTGATGGGGATAGTGGCGCAATTGAGAGACACACATTATTTTATTTTATCACGCAGATCTTGACAAGTTAATTTTTAATATCTTTAATACAAGAGGCCCATGTTCTTTAGTAGAAAGTAACAGGATTAAAAAAAAGAAACGGTACACAGTCTAGATAGCGTGCAGCACGTTTGAACATATGCCAAAACGTAGATGTCACAGGCGCGTATTCGAGAGCACACTCTAACGTTTAGTCCTACGTTCCGCGAACACAACATCTCGTACCAGACGGCCACCCACCGACAACCATCTACTACACTCAGTGTACGTCTCTGAGTGTAGTAATCCCTTCTTCCCCTATCAATTACGAATACGAGTTGTAATTACAGTTATAACTAGCTATACCCCGCGACTTCGTCCGCGTTCAATTTAGGGTTTTAATTTTTTTGCACGGAAACCCTAATTCTTTTTCTAAACCCTTCTTACCCTTCGGGTACGGAACCCTATTAACGCAAGTATTAACGTCTTTAGGAATAGGACTGATGAAAAGCCTCGTTACAAAACGGCTCTCCAGTTATATATATATATATATATATATATATATATATATATATATATATATATATATATATATATATATATATATATTATATTTCGATTGAATTTCATGGGTTTTATTTTTTGGGCGGAACCCTAATTTTTTTTCCAAAATAATGGTAGCCTAAGTTACACCTTATAACATCAGCTACCTGCCAGTGAAAGTCCCGTCAAAATCCGTCCAGCCATTTCGGATATTAGCCGGAACAAACAGACATATTTTGTTATAAGTATCGTGTACACTTTCATATATATTTAGTAAAAAGCTGTTATATTGATATTACAAACAGACACATCAATTTTATTAATTTAAGTTTTGCCGGCAGATAAGACCTTACTCTTATCTTGGACGTAGACCTGAAACCACAACCTATCCGTGGCTAATATTGCAATTTTATTCCAAAAGAATGAATACTATTCTGCGACACTAATTATAAAAAAAATAAAGTCTTTATTAGTTCTCTTCTATTGACTATTACTGCTTCGTTTTTCTAATTGTCGTAAGCGCGGTTTCTGATCATGAAGTCCTGGGTTCGAATACCGGGTCGGGCCAATATCAGTTATTTGATTTTCTGTCAAGACATAATCAGCAGCAACCCGGAAATACCTTAATGGTTTAGATTCAGATTTGGGTCCGGTAGGTGGCACTGTTGTCGAGATCCAAAAATCACCCGTGCGAAGCCGAGCCGGATTGGTACGCGATAAAATCCGTAACACTTAGTTACATTTAAATGTGTAGTGTTCGTGTAAACATTTTTTAAAGGATAGGATGACAAACGAGCACACAGTCCACCTGATGGTAAGTGGTTGCTGTGGCCCATAGACATCTACATTTATCCTCGATTGCGAATTAAAATGCAGATGCGTTGTCAGCCGTGAGGACTAAGATAAGTATGTCTCTTTTCCAGTAAAAAGGGTCTCCGGTTCTCTACACTCACCATACGAAACACAGCGGCATTAAGCTGCTATTCTTTGAGAGCGTGGTCCTTCCCCGGTCAAGTCGACCCATTCGTGCTACAACTAAACTATTAAATTAGCTGCAGCATGGCTCTATCACGTATAAGAACATAAGAAATCATTGATGAAAACCTAACGTCTCACTCTCTTGCAAGTTATAAAATGGCCTCATAAAAAGCAAGTTCCGTGGTAGTAAAATAGAAGATTGCGACGTAAGCTAAAGCTTAATGAATGAAGGTCAATCAAGTTAATGTCCGTCGCACCAATTTTACGTCAAGCTTATTACAGTAACACACCTAAAAATTACTCAGTAGTCCATATGTTTTGTTGTATTGCTGTGTAATAACCACACAACAGACTCACGGAATACCAGCGTGAAATGGCCAGCATGCTGCTTTGTTTTGTATGGTGAGTGCAATGCAAACAACCGGAGACCCTTTTTATGTTACTCGAAACGAGGCATTCCAGCTCAGTCCTCAGAGGTGACAGCGTGTCTGCGTTTTGATTCTTAATTGAGGATAAATGTAGATGTCTATGGTATAAAAAAAAAAAACAATTAACTTGTTTGTAGAAAAGTTGGCTGCAGCTGTCAGTAGATTGCATTAGCGACTTACCATCATGTCGACTAAAAGTTCGTTTTCTTTTTTAAATTTAGTTTAAAAAAAATCAAGTATTTTGTTCGTCACCTACCATTGGAATTATTAATTAAAGATACCGCCTGCTTAGCAATGTATTAGTTTCATACAAAACGGTTCAGTCAAAACATATCAACGGATGTAAAATTTTAAAGCCGTAAGGTAGGTGTGGAGCTAATCGCGTTTGGGAAATTTAATGCCTTATTGACTTAAACATTTCGTCAAAATCGTCTTTCTCTTAAGGTTTAAACACGAAGGTGCGTATATATTTTAAAAAATATATCAGATGCGAGTAATAATCATTATTTCGGTCTATCAAAGTCCACTGTTGAACAAAGTGCCATAGTTGCCACTCTTGGCAAACGGGCCGGCAATCGCATTGTTTTATAATATTATACTTAGTGACTTTAAGAAAGACACTGCTTTCCATATCCTGGTTTGTTTCCCTCCTTCGCCTCTTACGACACCTTCGGAATGATATGGAGTAGTGGATTTTTTTACACCGTCACTATACGACAAATTACAGTAACGTAATAATAGTAATAAGTTAAATATCATCTGTATCTATGTAGATACACACATAGATACGCATTGCTTGATATATTAACAAAGTTTTCGATCTTTTCCGCAG